GAGTAAACAAAGGTTTTCTTTTTCTTTGGGTTGTGCGGGTGGTTTTTTCCCCCCTTTCTGGTGAGGAATACCCCAGAGGCGTTCAGACACATGTATAAGCTGGTTTCTCTTCTGTTTTGCTTATTTTACGATTTTATGTTTACTGATTCATGGAAATTTATGATGTGTACTAGGGTACAAGTCGTCCTGCCCATTACCATGTCTTGTGGGATGAGAACAAATTCACTGCTGATGCCCTGCAATCTCTTACAAACAACCTATGTTACACGTAATTAACCACCCTCTTATGTTTGCTGTTTGTCATGCTGTTGTTATTTTTGTATTTTGACCGTTTATCTTCGTCTAAAATTTTGAACCTTTGCAGTTATGCTAGATGCACACGATCTGTATCAATAGGTAAGTTCCTCTAATACCTAAACACTTTGGGTTGTGTGATATGTTTGTATAGTTTGTTTGACATTTGGGGTGTTTTATTGTGATTTCAGTACCTCCTGCATATTATGCCCATTTGGCTGCATTCCGAGCTCGGTTTTATATGGAGCCAGAGACGTCTGACAGTGGATCGATGGCCAGCGGTGCAGTTACTGGCCTGGCCGTGGAGCTGCTGCTGGAGGTGCCCGTGCTACCCGGGGTCCTGGTGGTACTGTAGTTAGGCCCCTTCCTGCCCTCAAGGAAAATGTTAAGAGGGTTATGTTCTACTGTTAAATGTAGTAGAAACCTGGTCATTCTGTTAGTTTTAAGCTACGTGTTGTGTAAAATATCTTATTTCGAGGTAGCTTAGCTTATGTATTTTGTATGTGTGTAGCGTGCTGTGACATTTGCATGTGTTTGTGAAGCGTGGGGAGATGTGATTGTTAACCTTTTGCCAGACTGAAGTGGTTCGTCGTATGAATTTGGTCGTAATGTAGCAGGTACGATTTTTAATAGTTCGCTTTATGCTACTCAAGTGGTTTATTGTATGAATTTGCTCAGAATATGCAGGAGGTATAAAGTCATGGTAGTTCACAGGATGCTTCTGAAGTGTCTTGTTGTATGAATTGGCGCACTGGTGAATTGTCGTGTTTTGTTTTGCAAACTTTGTATCATTGTCGTGTTTTGTTTTGCAAACTTTGTACGAATGTTATTTTGATGTTGTGCAGCGGATGGTCTTTGGGGGCCAAGAAAAATTTGCGTCATCCTAAATGTTCCATTTTGTAATTTTCGTAAGGCTAAATGGTACTTAAATATCATGTTGTTTTACCACTTTTACATTTAAATATCCTAAGTTGTAAAAAAATAACATTTTAATATCCTAAATTGTGCAAATCTAGCACTTCAGCACTTTATTGTCTCACCGACTTTATACTTAACTATTTTAAGCTGTAACAAGTAACACTTTGATATTCTAAGTTATAAAAAAAATAGCACTTTAATACTAATATGTAATAATAAAATAGCATTTTAATACCTTCTATTAGTTGTTAGGATATATTTTCAGTAATATTTTCACAACTAAGAAAAGATATTAACGTGCTAATAATTTACAATTTTATTAAAATTTCTACTTTTTATAACTTAAAGATATTAAGGGTAAAGATGATAAAATGATAGTGTATTTAAGTGTCATTTAGCCTTTTCTTAAAGATGTCGTGCGCACAACGTTACCTTTCTCCATATAATCAAGCCAGCGGTGACTTTGTTTGGCTGCTGCCTATCTTCCGTCGGTCTACAAATCGCTTGTCATCATATACGTTCGTGCAAGTTCAATTTGTGGCGCTATAAGAAATGTTTCCATTACTCCAAACCAAGTTAAACTTTGCTCTCTTTTTTAATTTCTCTGGCACGAGATTGATATGAGAACGAAAAAACTTTTTGCCTGAGGATGATTTCTTATTATGATCTCTACATAATGACGACGAGGTTTCAGCTAAAAACAAAAAAGAATGAAGCATGATTATTCTACATGACAAAATAAATGTTTTATTCATAAGCACACATCTGTGGAGGAACCTTTTTCGGAGTGCTTCGTATTTTTAGTAATTTTTTAAAATCGTTTGAACACGATTTCTGCAGCTTACATTTTTTTAACAAAGGATTTTAATAATATACTGCTTGAAATTTTCTACTTCCAAATCAAGTTCTAGCTGGGACAAATTTTCAAAAACGATCTCTTTCCACATTTAATCCCTAAAAAAAGACTCATTTCCACAATATTTACAAAAACCGATCTTATTTTAGTCTTGGCGCTAAAACCAGGTCGGTTTTTGTGAAAAAAATTTCCGAAACTTAACAGGAGTTGAACTTCCGTTAAGTTTAGTAAAGCTGCTAAACTTCACGGGAGTTCAACCCCCATCAAGTTTCATAGTTCAAAAAAAAAAATTTTGAACTATAAAACTTCAAGTTTAGCAGCTTTACTAAACTTCACGGGAGTTCAACTCCCGTAAAGTTTCGAATTTTTTTTTACAAAAACCAACCTGGTTTCAACGTCAAGGTTAAAATCAGGTTGGTTTTTAAAAATATTATGGAAAAGAATCTGTTTTTTGTTTTTGGGATTAAATGTTCATATGGGACGGTTTTAAAAATTTATCCGTTTAGCTGTGATGAACGAGCACAAAACGAAGCCGTATACAAGAGTACGGAACTTAGCAAACGCCTTGGATGAACCGAAGATGTATTCTCAATCATAACAGCTCCCCGGGTGGGGTGGGGGTGGGCGTGGTGCTTGCATGAGCTCATACTATAACTGGAGATATCTCCAAGCTTCATTTTCTTGTATAAAGCAAGCCTCCGATGCCGGAAGCATTCAAGTGCACATCTAGCTAGTTTCCTTTATACTAAATTATTACGTATACAAATTTCAGATTGTCCCACTGACTGTCATCTATACAAACAAATAATTAGTATACAACTCTTAAGGCATGACCCACTACTTATCAATTTAAGGGACCATGCTCCTCAGCTTTTCGCTGCTGTAAGCAAAAATCCAAGGCTATATAATAGAGGGCTTGCTCCCTTTGGTACCAAAAGCATCATTGCCATATGGATATCTGCCATTACAAAATTTTCTTCCTTTAGACAGGAACAGCAGTTCGTCCTGAGGCAGGATTTGACTGAGGGTTATACATCCAACAATCACTAGTTTTTGCACATTGCAACTAGTATCTTGGTGAAATCAACTCCTTGTTGGCTTTTTTGTGTTTTCGTATGAAGCATAGGCTTTGCGTGCTTTTTGAATCTGAACAAATGCTTGATATAATTTACCACGTTATGGTTAACATTACTGGTTGATGATTGAACATAGCTCCCATCTCCCCTCGCCATCAATCAGTCGCAATTCCATGGAGTGAAACGGTATTAGAGCAGGTCGCTAAAAGACATAATTTAAATTATCAGAATATTAATGAATAACGGGTCAATGCACTAATTGTCAGAAAAATAATCCCAAGTACTAGCAATTCTTACTTGAGAGGATGTCAGAACTGTGATGCCCATTTCTTTCGCAAGTCTGTATAGGTGTTCTTCAACATCAACGCTGGTGGCACTGTAACAAGGAAATACTCAATGATGAATTTGACATGAAGACGCTAATAAAGTATTAAGCGAGGCTAATCGACTGCATACTTGGTGCACTCATCCAGGATGCCAAATTTGGGGTTGTGAAAGAACAAGCGGGCCTAGAGAAACAATATGATCAGTTTTAACTTTAGCTGGTAAGACTTAGCAACATTGATTATATCTGGATAATCAAAGATTAAGTGACAACTGACATACCATGCCAAGTCTCTGCTGTTCACCAAGAGATAACACGTCCTCCCAGTTAGGACAAGCATCCCAACCTTGCTCGTCTCGTTCAAGGAGATAAACTAATCGGACATTCTCAAGAATAGACCTCAGACGATCATCCAAAAGATGGGAAGCATCAGAATCACCACCTGTGTCAAGTTAGAGTGAGAAAATGAAAAAACAGAAACAATAATAAGTGCATGTTGGCATTTCAAATAGATGATCCGCCCAACAAAATGATCCGTCTTAAAATACTTTGGAACTGTATGACATGTTTATGAACGGTCAAGTAAACTATGTCAAACTGTTAGTTTACTATTACATGGTCATTCCTTATCTATGGGCTTGATGATTGCTTGCGAAAATTATTAACTAACAGAATTTTGACTTGCAACAGCATAGTGGCAGGGATCATCAACATCAGAGTTCCTCCATTCATCTAGCCAAAACAGGATGACAAAATTTTGTTTTGCTCTAGGAGTACAAAGTCAAAACATGCATGTATGTGACATAAGGCATGTATCGATGTGAATGAATGCCTGTGCATTAAGATGAAATGATTTATCTTCCAGGGCTCACAACTGTACGTTTATGGACCTAATCTCAGTTAGAATACTCCTATCATATGTTCACAAGCTTGTTTACTCTAACATCAACACTTTCTTACCAAATGAAAGTGTAAGTACATTGAAAATTATAAAGTGTGTCAAGATATCCATCTTAGGCCTCGTTTGGTACTCAGGACTGGGGTGGAATGGAATGCTCATTTCCACTTCTTATTCCGCATACCAAATATAACAACTTTCTAGAAGTTGGAATGCACATTCCCAGTGAGTTGATAAGGAATGGTCATTCCCACCATTCAAGTGGGAATCAAATTAGTTACGTAATTTTCCAATTATACCCCCATTGTAACAGAAACAAATCTTAAAAATTTCATCCCATTGGCTATACGTGTTAGCATATCTCGCATTTCTTTACAAAATGTGTTTTTCTATTTCATTGATATTTTTAAGGGTATCTCAGAAATTTGTCTACATCCATTGGCTTTTAGACCACGTCCGGTCATGTCACATATCTTCACGTTTATAACAGATACGCAATACTTGGTCTAAGAATTGTAACAGAAACAAATCTTAAAAATCTCATCCCATTGGCTACACGTGTTAGCATATCTCGCATTTCTTTATAAAATGTGTTTTCCTATTTCATTGATATTTTTAAGCGTATCTCAGAAATTTGTCTACATCCACTGGCTTTTAGACCACGTCCGGTCATGTCACATATCTTCATGTTTATAACAGATACGCAATACTTGGTCTAAGAATTGTAACAGAAACAAATCTTAAAAATCTCATCCCATTGGCTACACGTGTTAGCATATCTTGCATTTCTTTATAAAATGCGTTTTCCTATTTCATTGATATTTTTAAGCGTATCTCAGAAATTTGTCTACATCCACTGGCTTTTAGACCATGTCCGGTCATGTCACATATCTTCATGTTTATAACAGATACCCAATACTTGGTCTAAGAATTGTGTTAGTCATGTGGTTCTATGAGGTGATGTTGGCACTTGAGTTCATGTGCATCAATTAACCAGGGTCCAGAGCTGTCTAAATGAATATGCGGTCTGCAAAAACCACGAAAAGGAAAAGTTTCATTGCAAGAGTACATAAATTGATTATGATATATAGCCAAGATATCCCAGCATTTGATGTCCCAATATCATTAAATTTTTTTATCTTATAAAATTTCTATGTTGTTATAAGGGGGTTATTAAAAAATAAAATTTCATTCTCACTTGTGAACAAATGATACTAAATATGAAAATGGGAATGAAATTTNGCTTCATTCTATAAATGCACCCAAACATGGGAATGGGCATTCCATTCCCACATTCATTCCATTTTATTCCTTCATTCCATTCACACTTGACTCCGTTCCCATATACCAGGCGAATACCAAAGGTGAAGAACATTTAGTCTGACTTCTTTAGTGAGTTAATCATAGCAACATGCATATTAATTCAGGTGCTGGCTACGAAACTTCCACAACAAAAGTGCCTGAATCTAACATATTCAATTTTGCTGATGTAAATTTTCAACTAAAATAATAAAATTTACTTAGATACTTCGATAGTAGAATTATGGTGATAAACTTTTACAAGGGTTAAAACGTTTGTTTTACCATAATAATTTAAAATTCACCCATCACTTTGCAAACCATATGCGTCCTTACTCATTTACATAACTCTGCAAGTTGCATACCTTTGTGTCTCTTTTATTCATCAAAATATAATCAGCAGCCAAATTAGGCAAATCACATCTGCCTAAAAGAAAACCGTCATCTACCCTTGTATATCCAGCAATACCTATTATCCTACTGACTGTTTTCTTCTTGCTAAACAGGTTGGAGGAGAGGTTCTTTACTTTAAATTTAAATTAAGGATACTTCATTCAGCATCATACCTTTCTCAACAATTTTTAGCATCCTCTTCTCAGCTTCTTCACGTGAGAGAGGGTAAATTATTTGATCCCTCAGGGTTCCCAAACTAGTGTAAGGCCGCTGTGGAATGTAGAACATGCCACAATGTTGTCCCATCTCTTCATCAGTATTTTGGCAGGGTTTCATAAGTTTCCCACTTACGACAGGCCACAAACCTCGGAGAACTCGGAACATGGAGCTCTTCCCACTCCCATTAGGTCCTTCAAAAAAATAATAATAAAGAAATAATATAAGAGTAGAGCAGAGGAAAATTAGGGAAAGCCTAAGCTAAGGTGTTACAAACCAGTAAGGAGGAGGCTTTGTCCTTGCACAATTTCACATGTTAACTGCCTAGCTAACAGCTTCTGTGATGGGGTGATGATATCAACATTAGAGAAGGAGATAATATCCTGTGGATGTGTGCCATTTTCATCATAGGACACAGAAGCATCACATAGAGGAATATCTGCATTAGATCATGAAAACAAGTTACATATCTGAAATCTGCTCCAAGGCTTTAAATCAAATGCACAGCACAATTTTCTAGTGTGTCAATCTCTCTATTAGCATCAACCAGTATATCTTGCATGCATATGATTTCAATTAAGTGTTCACAGTAGCCCAACTAGTTTTTATTGTGGAAGGAAAATGATGTATGTGAAGAACAAGTATACAGAGATAAGGGTCAAAACAAATGGGTCAAAACTTCGCTTGCTTATTAAGAAAAAGATCTAAAGAAGCTACTTGTGACACCTAACATTGCCTCAAATGCTATCTCTGCGTGTATATCCACATGTTCATCATAACATTCTCGTCTTTTGCACAGGTGTCCAACACGGAGATTTAAGGTTCATTGGATACTGCAGCATTAATTTAAAGTACATCAAGGCTCCAACATTAAACTTCTTTACATAAGTAAGTCCTAGCACCTTGCAAAGGCAATGATCACAATTACTGCACTCAGCAAAACTACTAACAACTCTACCTCTTATAACTTATCAATCAAGATAAGAAAAAAAAAGAAAACAAATAGTGAAAGATCAAAGCAAGGGAAAGATGAAGCAATTTTATCAAATATTATTCAGTAAATAAGTTATCAAAGTGTTTTCGACAAACCATTTTGGGCAGCAGCAAGAAGTTCCTCAAGCTCAAATATACGATTTATTCCACCAGAAAGTTCAAGAAACTTTCTGTGCAACTCAAGAATGTCACCAAATGCTAGAAAGCTTTGTGATACCACAGACGCTAAAAAGCGCAGTGCATGTGCCAGCTCCCCTGGAAAAAATTAAATATCATAAGCAGCAAGCAACAAACAGTTAATCCAGTGAAGCTATATGGTCATCACGTAATATCAACCTAGTGTAGAAGTTAAAGCACGGTCTCCTTTATGCTCCATTGCATACATTAAACTCAGTCCCCATGTAACATTATGAGGGAGCTGCTTTGTGATGAAGTCGTCCAGGATACCATAAACCCACTTCTTTCTCAATAAGATCTTAGAATGATTGAGCAATTCCTTGAATCTCGAATCTACCATCTGTTTATATGCCAAGCATTGTCAGCGGATCAGTAAGATATGCAAAAAACAGAAGGATATCAGATGATAGATTTATTTGGTAGTGTCCTGCACCTGTCAGCAATATAAAATGAAACTATTTTGTGGGTTGGGTTTTCTTTTTCTTTTTTTATCTTGTTTTTGTTAATTGGAATGGGAAAATAATTGGAACAGACATTTAGCAGAATAGAGCATTCATTGTTTATCACCTCATCTCTATTAAGGTGTGCGGATTTATATGTCACAATCTGTACAAGGTTCGTGTTTTAACATTTCAAGCTAATCAATAGAATCAAATGAGATCCTTTTTCTGCCTGATATTCTTATCTATAGCAAGAAATAACCACATATCAAATTATTGCCTGCCGGTACCTTAACCAGGAGACCAATTATTCTTTGCTGCAAGATTATAAATCGCACAGATTATAAAAGTGAATCCTGTTTTCTGTCAGGTATGTGCACGGACAATTCTTGCATGAAGCCATACCCGTACCTGATACTTCCCGTACGATCGTACCCCTACCAGACACCAACACTCCTTGGACCCTTCTTGAATATATGCACAAATTTATTAGATGCGTACTCAATTATATAATACATATTTTAATTTAAAACACTCGTTATACACTTCTTGGACATATATTTTACACTTCGCACCCGCTTTTTGAAACTTGTTTAACAAGGGGCGCACATTCTTGTTTCAGAACTATGTCTATAGAGGACATTTGCGTATCTAGTTCAAAAACGAGTGGTTTTCCAATTTAACATATGCATAATAAAAGAAACATAGAAATATCGTAGGAGTTTTGATTCTCATAACATGTGGAT